AAATTCCTATATATATGTTTATATGTATATTGTAATGTTTTTAAATATTTATATGTAAGAATCGCGCGTATGTACGATTAAGCAGCTGTATCATATATATTTATTAAAAGGTAAGTAACTAATAAAATTTTTTACATATTTTATTTTTATTATAATTTTATTTACTCTCAAATATACCGTTTCATTTACAATATATTTCTTTATAGGAATTGATTCCGTAAATCCGGTGTTCTCTTATATAATCTCCATTTACTACTACTTTAATAATTTTTCCATAATTTTTGTAACAAGAGCCATATCTGCACGTTGTTCCGTGATTTTTGCCATTTCTCCCAATAGTGCATTAAATAATTTTTTCTTACCATTTTTATATCCTGATACAATTTTCGGATTTTTCTCGATAATTTCTAAACATAACTCTTCCAATCGTTTCTCATCTGATATCAAGAACCAATTACGTTCTTCAACAATCTATATATAATAAATAAAAACAGTTATATACAAGTTTAACATACAAAAAGACTCGCAAATTAAATACACACTGCACATTTTTTATATGAAAGAAACATGGAGGAAACTTTACCTCTTTCGGAGATTTCTTTGGATCAGATATTATTTCATGCAGAATCTTTCTCGCTGTTATTAAATTAACTATTTTGTTTTGTAATAAATCAATCAAGTGACCAATAAAGTTTTCATGTGGCATGCTAAAAATTTGTTAGATGAGCATTTTATGCAATTTAGAAATATAATTTAAATAAAACGAGGAGCCTCTTACCAAAATTCAACTGTTAGTTTATTTTTATGAAGAAAACTCAACAGGTCCATGACGAGGAACTTGGAGACCAATCCTGGTTCACGATTGTTATCTTTTCTTATTATTCCATCAAATAATTGTAACAATGCAAAGTCACTCTAAAAGAATATAAAATATTAAAAACATCTCTTGTATATGTTTATTTGATTATAGTGCATTCAAACCTACCATTAGAGATACAATTATTTCAGGAGATATTTTAAAAATGTTCTTTAATCTCTGACGTATCTGTTCCGGCAATTCAGGCAACTGTCTTTTCAATATTACAGCATCGATTAAATTGTTTTCATTCGGTAAATCTTCTCTGACATGTATACGTAAAGGTGGCAAGTTTGTTTCAGGCATAAATCGGTAATCCTGAAAATGTTCTTTACAGCAAATTCAAGACAGAACAATCTTTTGAGAACAACGGCATTAAAACAAAATGATATATTACTTCTTTGTCTTCCTTTTCACGCATAGGAATGGTAATCTTGTTTACTGCATCCCACGCGCGTGTCTCGTTAAATATTTCATTGCCGGCTTCAAGGATAGAAATCTGTCTATTTATTTCATACTTAATAGCGGCAGCGACGGCACGTACACTTCCAATGTTTTTTATTTCCGTCCGAACGCCCAACTCGTCGTCTCGGTTATTTACAGAAACGTTAGCATCGACACGAAGTGCTCCCTCTACAATTTATAAAAATAATAAAGTATGATATACTGAACCTACAAGCATTTTTCAAAAGCCAAATAATTTCTGTAAATGACCTTCCATTTTGCCATTACAGACACCCAGTAACTGTAACGTAAGTACAAGCTCCTTCACAAGTGCAGCAGCTTCTTCACCATCAACCAAATCTGGCTCGAACACAAATTCCATCAAAGGTATTCCAGCACGATTAAGATCAATCAAGCTTCTACAAAAATATGAAATCAAATGTTTAGAATACTATTATAATTTTTATCATTTTCTAAAGTTAAAAACATATATATAAATAATTAGCTTAATTGATACCTTGCTACATTTTCGTCATGCAAACTTTTACCACTGTCTTGTTCTAATTGAATCTGCTTAATTTTAGAAGACTTCAGATATGGTGATTTGTGTATTCCTGGAGTGAACACATGAAACTTAATTTCACCATTGACAGCAATGGGCTGTCCTTGTTGAGTGATTTGAAATCCTGCCTAAATAAATAATTGAAACGACTAATAAATATGCCAATATAAGATATAGAGAGAGAACTAGATCTTGTGATATTTACAGGTAAATCTGCATAGAAGTAGTGTTTTCTCTCAAACAGAGAAGTCTCGTTCAATCGACATGATAATGCTATGCCCGTCAGCACCGCCGATTCCACGCATTTTCTGTTCAATACCTGCAACACATTTGTATCTGCAACAATAATTAATATTTATCGCAACAATTTAGGCAATTTTATTAATTATCAATTACTTACAGGTAATGTTCCTGGTATGGCGCAATCATAGAATGAGACGCACGAATTGGTGGGACGAGCAAAGTCGGTAGATGCGCTAGAAAATAACTTTGACTCTGTTGCAATCTGAGCATGAACTTCTAAGCCCACGATGGATTTCCATTTCTTTCTACAATGATCAGAAATTAGATAATAAAATTAACGACTCAATTTAATATTTTATGTATATCAAAACATTGTATATTTTGCAAACAGACTAAATGTGATATATATATTTTTGGGGGGAACAGCAATAAGAATTATTTACATTTTCATATGTAAATATTCATAACCTAATTGCTTACCGCACTTTTGCTTCTTTTTGAATTTTAGATGAAAGAAATCGCTGTGAAGGATTGCCATTTTGCTTTTTAATCCATTTATACATAAAAACAGTATATATTTGTCTCTTCGGCAACATGCTTTATTGATGTTTTGATATAAAGTAGACAAAAGGTGCGCTTGAAAGATGGGTAGTGAATTCTCAGAATTGCCAATTGTCAAGCAAAAAATTTTGTATAGATGCCAACCAATAAAACGCGTTGGTCCCACGACTGTTTTCTAAATAAATTTATCTCTATTTGGGGATTTAAATTTATGCAGGAACAATAAAAAAATATAATACATATACTTTATACAACTTATATTTATTCGTGAATGTAAAAAATCTTATATACGTATAAAATTTGTTGTGCAATGTAAGTATACATAGCTGTAACAATTGGAATAGAAACAATCATTCCTATGACAACTTACATGTTGCGATCGCTGCTTTAATGCTTTATAATCCTATAAAATGCTGCATTGTTTTTTTATTATGATTACTAATGATATGGCATCCTCTATTGATAAATCAATTGATTGCTATTGAACAGTTGAATATCAGAGCAAAGAGATCAAGATCGTACAATGCCACTGTTCACTCTTTTAAAAAAATTAATTATTGAAGATGTCAGAGCCATAATTCAGAGATCGTTTTGAAATAAGATTGACCATAAATAATAGTGAGACCTATTAGTAAACACTGGAATTTAATCAGTAGCATCATCTCTAGATACACTAAACGGCTCTGCTATAGTCTCCGCGCCGCTATCAGCGATGACAATATCCTTCTGTGGTCTATCTTTCATATCTGTGTGTGTTTGCTCAATTTTACGCACTATATCCTGTAATACAAGAATCATTGCATAAATAAGTGAAACATATTCCCACGAGTTATCATAATGCATAAATGTATCTTATTAGATGTTTTGACATACCATTCCTTTGATTATTTTGCCAAAAACAACATGTCTACCATCAAGCCATGGTGTTTGCTTAACCGTGATGAAGAATTGAGATCCATTGGTGTCTTTGCCAGCATTAGCCATGGATAACCATCCGGCACCATAGTGCTTCAGTTTGAAGTTCTCATCTGCGAATCGATCTCCGTAGATACTGCGACCTGATAAATAAAACAAGTCAATAAAAGTGTTAAATTAAATAATAAGTAAAAATAGGGAAGCTTTTGCTAAACCTCCAGTTCCATCTCCCCTTGTGAAGTCTCCTCCTTGGATCATAAAATCTTTTATTACTCTGTGGAATAAGCTGCCTTTGTATCCCTCACCCTGTGGTTTCTTGGCGAGTTCCACGAAATTCTTGACGGTCTTTGGAACGGTTTTACCAAAGAGACCGATTTCAACTCTGCCCACATCGGCATCGCCGATTTTTATGTCAAACCATACCTATAAATTTAATTTAAATATTTATCAATGTTAATCAATACATCTACCGAAATTTTTTGACGGATACGCGACTCAAGAGGAAAGACATTGTTCCGAGTGACGCATGGACCTTTCCGTCTGTGCAACAGAAATATCTCGCGTATGGTAAAGGGACATGAAGTGCCACGTATTCACAAGCATTGTTCTTGTTCTTTTCACGATATTATCAGTTCGCTTTTGTTTCGAAGATTGCACTTGCAGAATATTATACCTTATCGGTGACTTTCGGTCCGTTGTTCGCGCAAGAAGCTGCGACCACCAGGCCCAGAAACAGTAGTAGTTTCATGATACGTCAAACTATACGAACAAAGATCCCTCGACTACTGATCCTTTGTAACAGTCTGTCAGAATTGGGAGTCGGCGGGACCGCTGCCGGATGCGAGTCGAGTTGCGTGTACGTGGTCTTGTAAAAATGTGGGAGCACCCGATTGGCCGGTTCCATTGGCACAGTGAAAGGAACGTGACAAAGGGTCCATAAAGATAAAAATTTTTATATTCATAATTATAATCTGATTTTTTTCACGTGTTTTATTAATTTCGATCCTTTTAAATGACTGGTAACTTTAACATATCAAGGAGTATTCGGAAATTTGAGTATTCAAATTTTTCCCGGTTTAAATCTTACAAAAAATCTGGGGCATTTAAATCTCTTGCTAACTATCGATAGGTAATAATAACTAACGATTATGAAATTAATATAATTGGATCAATCACTCTCTTAAAAAATTTCTTTTCTGCAGAAAATAACAGTCTTTCATGATTTATTAGACAGAAAAAAAATGAGCGTATGATTTTACAATCGCCAATTATTATTACTGCCTATCTCGATAGGCAGTAGTTTCAAGAAATCTAAACGTCAGATTGTGTAGGATTAAAATGGGAAAAATTTAAATACTAAAATTCTGAATTCTGAGATTTTAAACGATTTCTACGCATGCGCGAGCTCCATCGGTATGATGTCCAGTGTCCAGTTATTTCCAGTAACTTCTTGAATCCTTACTTCTTGAGTGATCTCAAATCTCAAGTCTTGTTCAGTTTTATTCTTTATCATTTTTAGTCTTGCCAGATAAGAAATTGTGTTTCCAATGTCGGTTGATACATTCGAAAACGAACAGGAAAAGGTACGGTTTTTATCTTATTAACAATTATATTTTATAAAGTACGATTTAGATCGGTTTCTGTCACATTGAAAGTACATCTTTGCATTATTGCTTATTCATCATCGTATTCATTACTTTTGCATTTTTTTTTTTTTTATAGATGAGAGAAGTAAACTTTTTTACAATATTTATTTTCAGTTTATATCGAACACAGAAAATATTAAGTATATTCAGAATTTTAAGTAACCTATAAATAAAAAAATGGTTTAAAATAAATTATTTACAATGCTTGTTTTTTTAAAGCTTTATTTCTATACGTATTAAAAACGTTAAAAAAAATTCATTACAATTAAGGAAAATTTGAGCTATATATTATCTTCTGGTCCTTGTAATTATATTGGATTTTGATATTATAACCGATAAATCGTGAACTTTTTCTGTTAAACTCAATTAAATTTCAATTCATGGCTGTACAATAAGTAGGATTAAATAATTATAGTAAATATTTTTATTTAAGATGGACGAGAATATGATATCACAAGGAGGAACACAAGCTGATTTTATTCGCGAGGAATTAAATTTTAACATTGATGCTGAAGATCCTGTAACAAAAGCTTCTTTAAATGATCATTCTGTAGGTGATTGTATAGATATATTTGGTAATGGTCAGTTGAAAAAGACAGTTATAAAAAAAGGTGAAAATGGAACGCGACCAAACAGAGGTGATATATGTACATTAAACATTACTGGTAAACTTGAGGACAGTAAAATAGTGGAAGAATATGAAAATCTTGTGATACAGTTGGGAGACTTAGAAGTGATACAGGTATCATATATATTATTATTATTATTTGTCAATATTTGGTTTATAATACAATATTGATATATATATATATTACAGGGATTAGACTTAGCAATTGCATTGATGGATATAGGTGAAGTTGCCGAGATTGTAATTGATCCTAGATTTGCTTATGGCAAGCAAGGAAAAAAACCTATACCACCTGATGCCACTATTATATACACAGTTGAACTGAAAGCAGCAGAGCTAGAGCCTGAGATAGAAAAATTAAGCATTAGCCAAAGAAGAGAAACAAGGTAATAATTTTGCTTATAAATTATGTAATAGAAGTTATTTTTGTGGATTAAATACTTTAAGGACAAAACTTGGTGATCTGTTTAACTTTTTTTTTGGCATAATGTTTGAATTAATTTTTCTAAAGTAATAAGAAACGTGAGCGTGGAAATTGGTGGTTTGTTCGGGACGAGTTGCCTTTTGCATTACAATGTTATCGGAAAGCATTGGAATATTTGTCATCGACAAAAAGTGGTACGAATCAAAATGAGGAAGAAGAGTCATTTAGTGATACTGAATTGCAAATTTTACTAGAGGATCGCATAAAAGTGCACAATAATTTAGCAGCTGCATTAATTAAAACAGAAGCCTATGATTCAGCTTTAGAAAATGTGGAACATGTTTTGAGGTGTCAACCACAAAATGTGAAAGCATTATTTAGGAAAGGTAATGCAAAAGTCCTAATCTTATATTTACTATATTTATTTAGTTTTTTTTTTAAGTTGTATTTATTCTTGATTTATGTTTTGACAGATATGAAAAATTCAAATAAGTATATGTATTGTATGTATTATAGGAACAATATTGAGACTCAAAGGTGAATATGCAAAAGCTTATGCAATCTTCACTGAAATGCAAAAATTAAATCCAGACATGAAGATATGTAATACAGAATTAATGACCTTAAAAGATAAAATCGCGAAAGATGCAAAAAAAGAAAAGTACTTATACCGTAAAATGTTAGGTGTAACTGAAGATATCAAAAATTTGTCAAAGGATGTGAAAGCGGACGATAAAAGTAAAAAGAAGTTTGCTAAGGGAGTTTTATGGACGTTGGCTGGAGCAGCATCTGCTGTTGTAATCAGCGTATTTATACATAGGTTTACTTCGTGAAAAAGAAAAAAAGAAACAAATAAAGACATCAGTTAATATGATTAAAAATAACGTTGAATTCTTTGTGTTTAAGGAAACAGAGTCTGTATGGGATTTAAGTATGTAGTATCATAACTTTCCAGTTTCCAAATTTTTTTTTTTTTGGAAGAAAAACCGACCAAAATTATGGATAATATGTGATGAAAATTAATAAAGACAAATTATAGGTAATATGTAATGAAAAATGTTAAACTTTTTGTTTATTTAAGGAAATAGAATAATGCTTGATCTGTAATTATATGTATTCTTTATTTTTAAATATTTATAACTATAAAATATATATA